AGTCGGGGGGGGGGCGTGTTCCAGGCGTGAGCGGGGCCTGCCCGACTTCCCAGCGGCGCAGTGACGGGTCCCCTGCTGCCGCCTGCCGGGCTGCGCAGGGCGATGTGTGTGGGGCGGGTTCATCTCGGCCAGGCCCCCTGGGGCAGCTGGCAGAGGGGACAGGTTCCCACTCCTTTCCTAGGGCTGAGAGGGGGGAAGCTTGTTGTTAATTAGCGGATTTCCATCCCCGTGGGCTTTGCATTAGTTCACCAGGCTCGAGCTGTAGCTTGGCTTGGGTGCCATTGCCTTGGGTGCCCTTCTGTACCCCGCCATGGGGCAAGGCCTGCTTCAAACCCTAATCCCGCAATCAACGTAGCAGCCCAAACTGTGGTGGCTTTGAGCACCCACAACTGAGCGATAGGCTGGTATGGTGATGGTTGTAGCTCAGTTAGGTAGACAGTGGAAGCCTAGACCACTAACCTCAAAAGCTGAAGTCTGAGTATTGAGATAGGCATCAGGTGTCCTACTTCTATTCTGCTTAGGTTTTTGTACCATCACCTGAGTGCCTTTCATTTAGTGCTTTAAGCAGCATGACTAATGTTTGTCACATGTTTGCTCTCTCATCCTCTCCCCTGGGGTGGAAATGTGTGTTTTGGAATTCATGTTTACATATATACACACACACACACACACACAACACCCACTTTGCACATGGAGCACATGCTGGGAATGGGCGAGAGGGGATGGATCTTTTGATGATTACTTGTTCTGTTCATTCTCTCTGAAGCACCGCTGGCATTGGCCGCTGTGGGAAGACAGGACACTGGGCTAGAGGGACCATTGGTCTGACTCAGTATGGACGTTCTTATGTTACGTTAAGGTGGTGAGGATTATGGTGATCATAGGCTGCCTTGGGAGGAGGGGGGCTGTGGCAGCATCCCCGCGAGCCCCACAGGCCACCTTAAGCAGCTGTGTTGGTGCTGCCGGGTGGGAGGCTGCCAGTGAGCACATGGGGCTGTTAAAGCAGCCAGCCCAGCCCTGGGAAAGGGGAGCCCGGCTCAACAGGGTGCAGGCCGGGGGCTCAGGGCAGGGACGGGGGGGTGCAGGAGGGGTTTGGGCTCTGGCCCGGCACCGCTTACCCGCAGCGGTGCGCTCCCTGCCTGCCAGTGCCCTACGCCGCTCACCACATCCCCGCGCAGCCCCGAGTGGCGGGGGTAGCACAGGGCTCTGCATGCTGCCCTTGCCACGCCTCCAGGTACCTCCCCTGAAGCTCCCATTGGCCACGGTTCCCTGTTCCCGGCCAATGGGAGCTTCTGGAGGCAGTGCCTGGAGCAACCCCCCGGCCCTAGAGACATGGTGCCCTGATGGCCGCTTTGAAAGCAGTGCGGGGCCTGCGGCACCATGGGGGGCAAATCCCACGGGCCGGATCCAAAGCCCTGAGGGGCTGGATCCGGATCCGGCCCATGGGCATTAGGGTGTGCCCGGGCATTAGGGTGTGCCCAGGCACACCTGGCACACGCCGTGCGCACGCCTATGATGGTGATCCTTCGTTCCTGTGGGAGTTCATGCCACAGTCTTGGGCTGGCCCCTGGGAAAGCTTTGTCTCCTGGACACAAACTTCCCCTTTATTGTAGAAAGTTCCACTATGTCAGAGGAGTGAAGTTGTTGACCACAGTCTTGTAGATAGTGGACCAAGCCCATTGAGTGTTTTGAAGATTGAGACCTTGATTCTATATTATTTGGGAAGTTAGAAACGATTGTTTTTCTTAGTAGTCACTGCTTGTTTTTCTTTGGGACAACTTGTTCTTCATCCTTTCTGGGGTGATAGGGAGCGGGGGGGAAGAGGGGAAGCAAATGTTGTTGAGAGGTGATAGGCAGAAGAACTTTTGAAAAACTTGAAATTGGTTTTCAGGATAACTTGGATAACTGAGATGCCCTCTCTGGGCTTTGCCCTCTGAATACAGACCCCTGGAATCACCCATAATGATAGCTGAAGCACTTTTTGTTGTGAGGGCAAACGAAGCTTGTTTGCAGTGTTGCCAATGTTTGCAATTGTATTTCCAGTCTTGCAATATTTGATGGTTTTCATAAAGCTCCAGCTCTGGGTGGCACATGAATCTACTACTTCGTTTGTTAAGCTTTGACTATATTATGGACTTTTACACAAAACTTCTACAGTGCTACCGCCATTTCAGCTCTGTTAGTTTTAGAGTGGCAATAACAGACTTTCACTTTGGGACAAGGGAGTTTTGGTTGGATTGAGCAACAAAATGGCAAATGAAATTTAATGCGGATAAATGTAAAGTAATGCACATTGGAAAAAAAATAATCCCAGCTATATATACAATATGATGGAGGCTAATTTAGTTACAACTAATCAGGAAAGCGATCTTAGAGTCATTTTGGATAGTAGTTCTTTGAAGACGTCCACGCAGTGTGCAGCGGCAGTCAAAAAAGCAAACAGGATGTTAGGAATCATTAAAAAAGGAATAGAGAATAAGACTGAGAATATCTTATTGCCCTTCTATAAATCCACGGTACGCCCACATCTTGAATACTGCGTACAGTGGTAGTCTCCTCATCTCAAAAAAGATATACTGGCATTAGAAAAGGTTCAGAGAAAGGCAACTAAAATGATTAGGGGTTTGGAACGGGTCCCATATGAGGAGAGATTGAAGAGGCTAGGACTTTTTAGCTTGGAAAAGAGGAGACTAAGGGGGGATATGATAGAGGTATATAAAATCATGAGTGGTGTGGAGAAAGTTAATGAGGAAAAGTTATTTACTTGTTCCCATAATATAAGAACTTGGGGCCACCAAATGAAATTAATGGGCAGCAGGTTTAAAACAAATAAAGGGAAGTTCTTCACACAGTGCACAGTCAACCTGTGGAACTCCTTGCCTGAGGAGGTTGTGAAGGCTAGGACTATAACAGGGGTTAAAAGAGAGCTAGATAAATTCATAAAAAGAACAGGAGTACTTGTGGCACCTTAGAGACTAACCAATTTATTTGAGCATAAGCTTTCGTGGGCTACAGCCAATGTAGTGGGCCCACGAAAGCTTATGCTCAAATAAATTGGTTAGTCTCTAAGGTTCCACAAGTACTCCTGTTCTTTTTGAAGATACAGACTAACACGGCTGCTACTCTGAAACCTGAGAGAAATTCATGGAGGTTAAGTCCATTAATGGCTATTGGCCAGGATGGGTAAGGAATGATGTCCCTAGCCTCTGTTTGTCAGAGGGTGGAGATGGATGGCAGGAGAGAGATCACTTGATCATTACCTGTTAGGTTCACTCCCTCTGGGGCACCTGGCATTGGCCACTGTCGGCAGACAGGATATTGGGCTGGATGGACCTTTGATCTGACCCAGTATGACCATTCTTATGTTCTTTTCTATCAGATTTGGCGATGGAACTTTACTGCTGTTGAAAAATGAATGAAAAGAGCAAATTGAGTTTCTAGGGCTTAAATGAAAGTGATTGTGATTGTTACAATGGATGGCTTAGTCTGAGCAAAAGAAGCGAAACATGGGTCTAACAGCCCACTGTCTCAGGTGGTAAATTCATTATTTTATTGTAATAATTAGGAGAGAGTAAAGCACAAGTCTGCTTAGTGTATATTGACTTTTGCCCTGAAAGACACTTGTAGCATTGCTCTGTTCAGATCTGGAGTCTCTAGATTAGATGCAATTTTTTTTCTTTTGATTTTTATTTATGTATTGTTTTCTGTTTCCAATTGTGCCTATCAGTTGTCTAGGAGCGGCTGAAAGACTTTACAGTACAAACATAGGCACAACACTTAATTAATTGTTTAGGGTGGAAGGGAGGGAGGATTGTGCAGTATACGATTTGTTGGAAAGTACACCTCTACCCCGATATAATGCTGTCCTCGGGAGCCAAAAAATCTTACCGCGTTATAGGTGAAACCGTATTATATTGAACTTGCTTTGATCCACCGGAGTGCGCAGCTCCGCCCCCCCCCCCTCCGGAGCACGGCTTTACCACGTTATATCCAAATTCGTGTTATATCGGGTCGCATTATATTGGGGTAGATGTGTATGTATGGAAAGCAGCAAAAATTTAATAGGGCTAGTCTCTGAGCAGGTTTATTGGTTTCTGTGACTAAGGTAGGCCTGTGTATTAGAGGCATGGCTCTACAGTTCCTTATATCCATCTCAGATGGATGTATCAGCCAGAGTATTTGCAGCTGTGCAACTGAATATCAGAAGATCCTTTTACTCTTTACACTGTCATGGTTTGGAATATGTGCACTACTCCTGACTACTTTCATTTGCTTATTCTTTGGATAAAGGTATGTAAGGTATTAGAATCCTTCTTAGGATGACTGCAAAATGACACTTAGGAATGCACTTCTAGGAGAAATACACATGAAGATGAGAAGAAATCACAGATTTGCGGGTAGATGTTAGATTTGGGGTTGTAACTGTAAATAAATAGTGTAGAGTAAGAAATATAAACTAGTTTTTAAGAAAAAGCTTTAACTTTTCATCTGTAATAGAGGAAACTTGAAACATAAATCTGTTTTAATTATTTTCCTTTTCTTGTCCATCTGATTGTCTGTCTGTTTTTGATGCTTGTACTTGTAACGGCTTCTAAATGACATTCCTGCAGTGCTGTTTCTCAATTTCCTCGTACTTTATTCTTATCAACTTCTGTACCTCTCTTTCTTTCAGGGTGGATTGATTAAATAATTGATTTTAGTCATGTTTTGCATTTTTGCTTTTTAGTGATTTTCCCAAAGAAAGATTGGTTCTCATTGGTTGATAACCATTAAAACATGTTGATTTGCAGTTAAATATAGCCTTTGCACTAAATTTGGTGCTGCTTTTTGCTAACCAGGAGAATAGGCTACCTCTGTACACATTTATTTAAGCAATTATATAGTTTAACTTTTTACTAGATGATGATTAATTTTTTATTTGTGACTTGGGCCAAGCTTTATTTGAATGGAAATCCATATTCAATTAAAATGAACAAAATATCATTTTATTTCTTATTAAATAAAACTACCTTAAATGTGCTCAATATATAATCAAAAGGAGTTTATCCAAATGTGATTTGCATTTAAAACTGATTGCTTTATTACCAAGGAAGTAATATCTGTACTAATGAACTGACTTGATTATTTCTGGTCACCATTATTTCAGGATTTTAGAACTAGAAGATGTCAGCCTCTTACACCTAGTTTTTATTCAGAGGTTGGAAGAGGAAAACATTCTATTTTTGTAACTCCAAGTTAGTTTCTAAACTTTGAGCTAATCATAGAATTGAACTACAATATTTGAATAAATTGAAATGAAGAATATATTCTCTCTTCACCTGCAGAAGAGGCTACTGCTTTCAAAAACTGGTTTAGCACTTCCTCAAACTCTGGTTCCAGGTGCTTAGCCAATGATTTCCAGCAGTTCAGTGGTCTGACTTTCTTTAAAACTTGGCAGGAAACATATGGACTGCTTAATATTATGTTTTGTCTTTCAATTTAAATAAGTTTAGGCATTAACACAGTGTGTCAGTTTCAAATTTAATTTTAAATAGGTTTGTTTTAAATAAATAAACCTGTATTTAATTTAAATTAAAGTGTAATTTAAAACATCCAATTTCAATAGAATATGTTTGAAGTGTTAGGTTGACCTAACTATGTCAGACAGGATGCAAAATTTTTCACAGCCCTAAGTTATGTAGTTAGGTCAATCTATTTTTAGGCGTCGATTAGGCCTATATTTTGAATCACTACATTCTTGTTGATTCTATACAGAATCAAGAAGTCTGAAGAGAACACAATCAACATCAGTAATGAAATTTTGTAGAATGTTGATTCGTGTCCTCTTTTGTCTGTCTGTGTGCACAGGTTTGTGTGTCCATTTTAATCATTTATGATTTTTCTAGACTGAGAGTGAGAATACATTTGACTCTGGATGGAATGAACCTGAAAGGCAGATTTATATTTCCATGACATTTCCCTAGAGATTTCATAATCTACTTTGAAAAAGCAGCTTCAGCTTCTTTTCCGTTGTCCTCTCACCTTCCACTGAAGCGTCTTAATTTGATAGTGATTTTTTTCTTTTGGTCATCAATCTGATTTCTCAGTGTTGTCTAGTAGTCTTGAGTGTTCTTGAAAATTGTCATATGTTGGTTGATTGGTTGATCTCCATGTCTTCGGTTTTCCTTTCCACCTCCTGCAATCTTAACAGAAGCTTTGAACTTCTCCACTGCAACATGACTAAAATCAAATCTTTAACAAAGCCTGCTGAATGCTTAGCTACGAAGTGCAATGTGGCTTTATAAAAAAAGCTTCAGGGTTAAGCTCATACTTATAACATATTTTCAGATAAATCCATGGGCAATTTAAAGCAGCAGTAAAGGGGTTTGGATAATACAGTACTGCAATACACATTAGAAGACAGTATCATCTGTCCCAATGAGTCTAGGATCCCAGAAAGCTAAAATCTGTCTCTAGAGTATGGTTTGTCAATTATCTGCAAACTTTTTTTTTTTGTGCTTCAGGTAGGCTCGACAGTTTAGTTGCATGTAGAATGCTTATTACAGGGAAGATCCAATTCTTTTCTGTTTCTTTGGTATGTTTTTTATTTACATCCCTGTATCTTTTTGCTCGTTTCATTTTCAGCCAGACTTTGATGTCGATCACTTTGTGTCTGACTGCAGAAAGCGTGTCCAGTTAGAAGAGCTCAGAGATGATCTGGAGCTCTATTACAAACTCCTTAAAACTGCCATGGTAGAACTCATAAACAAGGACTATGCAGATTTTGTTAATCTTTCAACAAATCTGGTAAGTTTTCAAGTTGAATGATGTGTGTGAGAGTGTTTTAGTGTGATTTTTAATTACAACACAAAATTGTGAATGTCTTTCTTTCCTGGCATGTTAGGTAAAGAAGCCTTGAATTGTTGCCGCTCAAATTGAGAGAGACTGGAAAACACTTATGTGCTGTACCTGTACTTTCTATATAAGTGCTCTTTGTCTGCAGTTAGATGAAAAGCAATAATTGTGATTTCTTTAAAGATCATGGATTTAGTATGAAGGTAGTAAATAATTGTTGAGAATTCCCCAACCCTCTTAAAATGTGAAAAGCCTCTAATACATGTAAAGCTCCAGATATCTGAATTATTAAAACTGAGACACACAGATCTAAGTATGCAGACTATGTAACAAGTCGGTACTGTTCAATCCAGTTGACCAAATACCACAATTCATTTTTCAAATGGAAATGTCTCATTGCATTTCTGTATGGTGCGCATTGGGATACATAGTACAAATATCTAGTTTGCATAGTTTTTCATTTCTCCATGTTCTGCACCACTGAGAAAAATAGTAGTGCTGATTTTTTTTTGTTCCTACCTTGTAGTATTAAATGAGCATACTGGCACATCACTAAGTATGAATCAAGATCAGGCTACGTCTTCACTGGGGGGAGGTTGATTTAAGATACGCAAATTCAGCTACACGAATAGCGTAGCTGAATTTGATGTATCCAAGCCAACTTACCCCGCTGTGAGGACGGTGGCAAATCGACTGCCGCGGCTCCCCTGTCGACGGCGCTTACTCCTACCTGTGCTGGTGGAGTACAAGTGTCGATTCGGGGATCGATTGTCGCGTCCCGACGAGACGCGATAATTCGATCCCCGAGAGATCGATTTCTACTCACCGATCCAGGCGGGTAGTGAAGACGTAGCCTTAGATGACTTTTTTGTGAGGATTGTGTAGGTCTATACAACAGTGCTGTATCTAATGGATACAGTCAATAATGAATTCACATGTTAAGTGAAACAAACATTATTATAATCAAATAGATTCCCAACTGTATGTTTTGATCATTTTTGTAGGTTGGCATGGATAAGGCCCTCAATCAGCTTTCAGTGCCGTTGGGACAGTTACGAGAAGAGGTCATGGTATGTTTGAAATAATCCATATATATCTCAAAATAGTTTAGTAAACTTACATCTCATACTATATCTTATGAAAATTAATTGCCTTTTAAATTCCTCGAATTGATAATTGTTTATCAGAGTCTTCTCTTTGAAAATGAGAAATGTAAGACATCATTTCCTGTTCATTGTTTTAGAGGACAGTGTGATATAAGAGTTCTGTAGTAGCAGAAGTAATTTTGCATTTTCTGTAATGCCGTCCATCCAAGGACCTCAAGTGATTTAAGGACATAAATGAATAAGCCTCACGAAACCACTGTGTAGTGAAGAATTAGCACTATTTTACACTTGAAATTGAGGCACAGAGCGATTTAGGATGTCTATAGCAGAACCAGGAATAGCGGATATATCTCCTCCCTCCCAGTTGTATACGTTATCCACAAAGACACCTTTCCTCCCCTTCTCCTTTGAGACCTTTGTTACAGTAGTTCACCTAGCATGACTTGCATTTAGCAGCTGAAATATATTGGTAAAAATCTTCACAGCTCTTCCTAGAGGATTTTTGTTGAAAACTTGACGTATAACCTCATCTTTTTTTGAGGCGAAAAATGCCCATGTGCACTTAGTACCTTATCTTTCCTCCATTTTGGAAAAATGTTTAAATCCACATAAATAAAGCATAAGTTAAAGGGACACAGTCAACTTAAAAAAAATCACACTTCTGCCTGAAAACATACTGTTTGTTTTGAGTAACACTTAGGTAAATTTAAGAGAGGTAAGCAATGGGGTCCCCCAAAGATCTGTATTGGGACCTGTGCTGTTCAACTTATTCATTAATGGTCTGGAAAAGGGAGCAAATAGTGAAGTGGCAAAGTTTGCAGATGATAAAAAATTACTCAAGATAGTTAAGTCCAAAGCTGACTTCATGAGGTACAAAGGAATCTCTCAAAACTGGGCAACAAAATGGCAGATGAATTTCAGTGTTAAGTGCATAATAATGCACATTGGGGAAGAATAATCCCAACTACATATGTATAATGATGGGGTCTAAGGGCTGGTCTACACTGGGGGTGGGGGGGGGGGGGAGGTCGTCATGAAGAGTTCTCTGAAAACTTCCACTCAGTGCCCAGTAGCAGTCAAAAAGGCAAACAGAATGTTAGGAACTATTAGGAAAGGGATAGAAAATAAGACAAAATATCATATCACTATATAAATCCATGGATTTATTGAATACTGTATTCAGTTCTGGTTGCCCCATCTCGAAAAAGATATAATAAAACTGGAAACGGTTCAGAGAAGGGCAACAGAGATGATCAAGGATATGGGACGGCTTCTATGTGAAGAGAGACTAAAAGGAGTAGGGTTGTTCTGTTTAGAGAAGAGACCACTAAGGGGGGGATCTGATAGGTCTATAAAATCGTGACTGGCATGGCAAAAGTGAATAGAGAAGTGTTATTTACCCTTTCCTGCAGAGGTCACCCGATGAAATTAACAGGCAGCAGATTAAATACAAACGAGGAATTCTGTTTTCACCCATCGCACAATTAGCCTGTGGAACCCTTTTCCATGGAATGTTGTGTTGGCCAAAAGTATAACTGGGTTAAAAAAAGAACTAGATAAGTTCATGGAGAATAGGTCCATCATGTCTATGAGCCAAGATGGTCAGGGATGCACCCCTATGCTCAGGATGACCCTAAACCTCTGGTTGCCATATGTTGGGAGGGAAAGACAGGGTGGGTCACTCCAGCTGCCCTGTTCTGTACACTCCCCCTGAAGCTCTGGTACTGGCTACTGTCGTAGACCAAATATTGGGCTAGATGGACCATTGGCCTGACCCAGTATGGCGGTTCTTAAATATAACTGAAAGTATTATTCCTCTATTTCAGTTTTATTTACTTTGTGCATTTGACAGCAATTCTTGTACTGTATATTTCAACTTGTTTTCTCTGTATATCAGTTAATCAGTTTTCCCTATTGTTTGTTTGTCTCTTACATCATAACAGGGGAGAGAGAAGTTTTTTTTTAAAATATGAAAATGATTGCAAGTCCATAAAAATTAACAGTTCTTAAGGACAGCCAAACCCTTCTTTTTTTAATTGACACAAATTTGTTCTTAGGCTTAAATTTTTCCATATCACTAAGCCAAATTTTCCAAATTAATTCATGTCTCTCTCAGAGCCTTAAGTCGTGCGTGAGTGAAGGAATTCGGGCAGTAGATGAACATATGTCTAAGCAAGAGGATATCAGAAGAAAAAAGGTACAACAGACAAATAGCTGGGGGAAGAAAATACACTAATTAGAGTTATGTATTCCCCCTCCCTCCCAATAACTGTTAAAACAAGAAATTCAGAGAGATGGCTGTGTCTGTCCATATCGTACTGTGCGCTGTTTTTATACATGTAAAAGTTAGACATCCATTGTTTGGAGACTCCTGGTACTATAAGGTGAGTGATGGTCAATCAATCATAATCCCAAATTTCCTTTTATCATTAAGTCAAGCCATTTCTACTATTAGTACTTTATATAAAAAAGACTGCACTATTATTTCCATTTCATACTGGTGTGTAAACTTCCACATAATTTAAATGTAGTATAATAAACCTGGAAAGAAAAATGTTTAATTTTTGATTTACGCAAAAAACATCTAATTTATTTTGAGGTGGAAGAACAAGAATTATTTGAACCTGTACTAAAATGTAATGTAGTTCCTATTATGCTTAACACCCTTATACCTAAGTAGAATCATAGAAATGTAGGGCTGGAAGGGACCTCAAAGTGATCAAGTCCAGCCCCTCAACTGAGGCAGGACTAATAAGCCTAGGCCATCTTAAATAAGCCAGCTGTTTTTCTAATCTGTTCTTAAAAACCTCCAGTGATGGGGATTCCACAATCTGCCTTGGAAGCCTATTCCAGATCTTATCTACCCTTATAGTTAAAGTTTTTCCTAATATCTAACCTAAATCTCCCTTGCTGCAGAGTAATCCCATTGCTTCTTGTCCTACCTTCAGTGGACGTGGAAAACAGTTGATCACGGTCCTCTTTATAATAGCCATTAACCTATCTACAGACTGTTCTCATGTCCCCCTTCAGTCATCTTTTCTCAAGATAAAATTGCCCAGTTTTTTAACCTTCCTCATAGGTCAGGTTTTCTAAATAAATTTATCATTTTTGTTGCTTTTCTGTAGACTCTTTCCAATTTGTCCATGTCTGTCTTAAAGTGTGGCTGAACTGGTATATCATTTCCTGGGTCCTCTTTGTTCTCCTAAACGGATTCAGATTCTTAAGAAACTTTCAACCAAAAATGTGAAGGCTGGCCCCAGTACCATTCTCAGAGCTGTTAATTAGAAAATGGAGACTGAAACTGGAGATGAACATGATGATAAATATTGCTTTCTTTACAGATGTGTGTCTTGAGACTTATTCAGGTTATTCAATCAGTTGAAAAAATTGAGAAAATTCTACACTCCCAAAGCTCTAAAGAATTGTCCTTATTAGAAGCAAACAGGTAAGGAATGTGCAAACATTCAAGTTCTATTCCTAATCAACAAATGCAGTTTGTTTCATCGTTGTACTGTACCCGAATTTACAAATACTCTTACACATGTTTAGAATTTTAAATATGGTGGAATGACAGCAAGACCACAGTTAAGATAGTGCCATAGTTTTAAATTTTACAGGATTCTTAAAATCTCAGTTATCGTGCTGCAAAGTGGCAGTAAACTAAATATAGAACTAAACATTTTCATAAATGCTGAAATTATGAAAGTGTTTTTTGAGTAAAAGTAGATTGTTGCATGCTCATTAATCAATTTTTAAAAAGTACATTTTTGACATTTTGTAGTGTTGGTTTTTTTTTTAGAATCCATTTGCCAATAATCTGTAATACCTCTGGCTCTGAAATCCCTCCCATGTTTCGACAAATGTACCATTTACTACCGTTAGGAGTAAAACAAAGAGTGGCTTCTCCTGTTTCCTTGACTTTTTCACATAACTGAAAAGAAAATTGCCAACAGCATGATGATGTGTATAGGATTGATGATGATGTAGTATTTGTGGTGGAGGGGAGCTTCATGAAGAGCCAGTCTGGTACTTGGACTTCTCAGACAACTTCAGGGACAAGTTCCCCTCTCTCTGCCTCTAAGCAAAGATGAGGGAGCGGGGGACTTCTCTCTCCAGCTGCCTTGGGGCTGAAATACCAGACGTGATCCTCACATACCTCACCTTGCCAGCAAACTAGCTGTAGTTCATAGGCAGGGGAAATGCTAGTCTTGTGCGCCTCTTGGTGCATGAGATCATCTCCACTGCTCTTCAGTTGTGATACAAGAGGGCATAACTGGGGGACAGGACCAGTGTGGGACGGTTAGGTGGGAGAGTGGATGTAGGAGCCCTGAACACACCATCTCCTCCTATGTAAAGGGGGAACACAGTGAAAGCTGAGACTGGGTGTGGGGATAGCAGTTCAATTTTAGGGAATGGGGAAGTTTAGTGGAGCCATGCTGGGATGAAGAAGGCATGGCTATTTCCTCAGAGACAGCCCTCATTAATGCTGCCATGCCACAGGGGATGGGCAAAGGGGGGGGGGGAATTCCTTCATCATATAGATTTGTTCCTTTCCAGAGCTGTTGAGTTCTGTAAAACTGGTTTCCCCCGTGACAACAAGCAGGACCGTCATTGCAGGGACCAATGTTGTGGGCTGCTAAGGCATGATCTTGTGCCCGCTATGCCTGCCTCTTACCATTATTCACAGGGAAAACATTGTAACTCTGACCTTGTACCCTGCCTCCCCCATGTTAGAGTTGGGCGGGGAGCAGTGTGCATCTGACCATTAGGTGGAAGTGATTTTGTTTGTGAAGACCTTATTGTGTATTGAACTGCAAGTTCTAACCTAACACACACACATTCTTTTTTAGCCCACTTTTGACTGGACAGATTTTAGAGAGAATTGCCACGGAATTTAACCAATTACAATTTCATGCAGTACAAAGCAAAGGAATGCCTCTTTTGGACAAAGTGAGACCAGTAAGTACCACTGTTACCCTGCTTAACCTTCATGAAATCTAACATATGCAGTAGGTACAGAAATACCGATATTACATCAACAATGTTTTAATTAGTTTGTTCTGAGCAAAACAGGTTCCTAGTTTAAAACATTCCGTTACCAGTGCTATCTTCTGTGGGTGTTCATGCTGTTATTTTCCAACATCTTTCAGATGAACAGTTGAGAATAGGAATAGAAAATAAGAAATTATATTAAATGTTTGTCAGCATAACATTTTATCCTTAGTCTAAATCTAGCCTTGGTACTCAGGGGATTTAATAACTCTGGTTATCTTATACAAACTGAAGCATAAACAATTGAGTGTGTCCACAGTAGTTACCCTGAATTGATTAAAGGTTTGCCTTTGTGTCCACAGCAGTGCTGCCTTAAACTGATTGAGGTGTGGTGGCTGTTGTTTTTGATGGCTTCTTCAGCCAGTTAGCCACCTTTTAGGGTATGTCTACATTGCAATTAGACCAGTGGTGGGCAGCCCCGGGGCCACATGCTGCCCATCTGGGTAATCCGCTGGTGGGTCGCGAGACAGTTTGTTTACATTGACCGTCTGCAGGCACGGCGTCCTGCAGCTCCCAGTGGCTGCGGTTTGCCGTTCCCAGCCACTGGGAGCTGCGGGCTGCCATGACTGTGGACGGTCAATGTAAAGAAACGGTCTCGCAGCCTTCCAGGGATTACTCTGATGGGCTGCATGCAGCCCGTGGGCAGCAGGTTGCTCACAACTGAATTAGACAACACAGCTCGCCTGTGCTAGCTGGCTTGGGCTGTGGTGCTGTTTGAGGCATAGACGTTCAGATTCAGGCTGCAGTCTGAGCTCTGAGACCCCCCCTACGTCGCAGGGTCCCACATCTCAGGCTCCAGCCCGAGCTCAGATATGTACACCACAATTAAACAGACCCATATCCCGAGCCCCATGAGCCCGAGTCAGCTGACGTCAGCCAGCCACGAGTTTTTAATTGCAGTGTTGCACCAACCCAGAGCTCAGACCTAGGACCCCATGAACTTGAGTCAAACCGGGACCCAGGGTTCAAACTCCAGTTCATTGCAGTGTAGACACGGTCCCCCCTGGACTCTGGGAGTTCTATGGAAGTATCCCACTGGTGGACTTTTTGTCTTCTGAACAGTCAGATGTATTGGACAGTCAAGTTTTCCCATTCTGCACCACAAACAAAGGGCTAGAGTGGCCACGTTTTGGGAGGGCACTAGGAAGTCTGGGTTACGGGTGGTTGGACTCGGGCCCTCATAATGCCGTGTACGTGATAGAGCCCAGGTCGGGACCCAGGGTTCAACAATTCCTAACCTGGGGTTACAAATGAGCGTAGATGCTCAAGCCCCAGGGTCTGCTAACTCATGTTCTAACAACTCTGGGCTTATATTGCATTGTAGACATTCCCTCAGTTCTGTCTGATACTCCCCTCTGCCCAGCCCCACTCAGCTAATGCCCCCTGACATCCTACACCAGCATTACAATTGTGTATCGCAGACTGCATGTAGCAGTTTGAACCACAGGTGGTTCACAAGGCCACCGCTTGCAGCTGGCAGTTGAATTTCCAGTTGAGAATAGTGGAGAGGGAAAGGTGGGAACATGAGTGGAATATTTCAAGAGGAGCAAAACTGGGGGGTGCTCCCTGTGGGGTGCCTTCCCTATAAATGCTCTCAGCCAGTGACCCCGCCGTGTGTTTTCAAATGATTATTTGCAGCTGGTGACCTACAGTTGGATTGCCAACTTAGGCTGTTCAGGATGGATTCTGGGAGCATTTCCAAGGAGATAATTTTTTAGGAGGATACTTTGAGAGGGGGCATAAAAGGGACTTGACTGGAGGTGAACAGTTGAATCATCAGCTCCATATTGGTAGACATTAGATGTACAGTGGGACACTTACTGGGGGAATCTCCTGGAAAGGCATGGCCAAGGGGGTATTTCTGGGGAGAGTGTTGGGAATGAGTGGGGCTTAAGTGGAGGAGATATTGCCAGAGGGAGACCCTCCTCCAGCAATCTTAAAGGAGGTTTGCTGGCTGAAGCAGCTGCTAGCCCTGGCAGCTGCCTACTATGGCAGTCCTTTGTTTGTGGTAATAGAATGCAGTCATATTGGGTCTCAGTTCTTTGACCTGAAATGTTTGGGACTCAATCACTGCTTTTCTCATAAAATCCAGGGGTAAATGTCACAATTGTTACCGCTAGCAATTGATTCAATGGGTTCGTGTGTTGACACAAGGTGTAGGTTAGTTAATTGGGGAGAACAATTGTTGACTTATCATTTCTCCCATGTCAGTAAGATCCTAGACTGTTTACCAGATTGATTTTTCAATATACAAAAGAAAATAGGTTTTTTTTTCTAGTTTAACATTGTTAAATTGAGTAATTTCATGATATGGAGTTAAATATACAGTAATAATCCATAGGCTTATTTTAATCATTGGATTTTAATGTTAAATTGATACAGTTACTACAATTCTGAATGTACTCTTTTTAATTTTAAGTGTGTGTTGATGTTGGTAAATCTTCTTGCACATAACTCCTGTAAAGAGGGCAATGCTCTGTTTTTATTCTCTCCTTTTTTGTAGCGTATAGCTGGAATAACAGCTATGTTGCAGCAGTCTCTGGAAGGGCTGCTCTTGGAAGGCCTTCAAACTTCCAATGTTGACATAGTACGTCATTGCTTACGGACCTATGCAACAATTGACAAAACACGAGATGCAGAGGCATTAGTTGGCCAGATTCTTGTAAAACCATACGTAGATGAGGTAAGATAAGAGCCAAAGAAAAGTAACTGGCTTGGGAAAATAATTTGTTTACCTGTGAACATGCCAAGCTTCCCTCGTGCTCCCTCTGAGTGCAGTTAGCACCTTCAAAGCTCCTATTTCCAGCTTCAGGTTGTTCGATAGTATCCCCTAATATCAGTATCCAATTTCAGTTATCTTAAATACATTTGGCATGGGCAATAGAAAAATCAAAATAAAACAGAAGTGAAGCAAAATATAATCATAACTAAGGTTAGACTACAATAAGTGTAATTAGTAAGGCCAGACCTCTTAATTATAGAATATTGGTTAAACAAGTTGAAAATCTCAGATTTCAGAAATTCTTCTCTTGACAATGCATTCTGTTTCAATCTCACCATTTTTCTCCAGGGTCAGGAAGTATCTGATCTCTCTGGTTTTATCTGTACTGTCAGTTCTGGTGGAAGGCTTCCACCATTGCACGAGTGTTGATGCAGCTCTACTGGCAATGGTGGAAATAATGTTAGTGTAAACCAGCCGTGCCAGGGTTTTTTCCACAGTGTCAAGTCATGCTCTGGCCTGGATTATTCAATTTGGGAGTTAAAAGTGCTGGTGGCTAATCTACACTACTGTTCCCACTGTTTCTAGCACTGGTGCTGCTGCACTGTTGGTAAGGTAGTGGTGGAAGACTTCCCTAAAATTGCCAATGGGACAAAGCCTTTGTTAGCTGCCCAGATGTTTGTAAACCTTTTCTACACTGGAAACTTCCCCCTCCCTCCCACAAAAAAAATCTGGACTAGTAATAGCAATAGTCAGAAAACTAATGTATACTTAGTATCAGTTGGTCACTGGCACTTTTACTAGCTGATCAACACTAGCACTCCCACTGTCGCTACTGCTGGTTCAACTTAAGGGATGCAAATTTAGTTGGCCATGGTAAACAAGGCCTCAAGGTCTCTCTGGGGCATCATGCTAAGGTATGTGTAATAGTTTCAGGGTAAGTGAACCTGTATTCACCCTTTCATGGTTTACTCCAGGAGTTCCCAGTCAGGTCTTAGGTCTCTGGTTTTCACTTGTCCCAATTTCTTCTGACCAGGAAAGTTTTAAGACTGCACAGCTTCCTGCCGTGCCCTGTGATATCCCCAGCAAGCCAGTCTGCCTAATGGCCAGAGCTTGTGCTTTTCTTTCTCTCCGAGGACAATGAACAGTGTTTTGCCAACAGTTATTACACTTCCCTTTATAAGCAAGCCCAGTTATTCCTAAAGTAAAAGGATTCCAGAAAAAACATAAAAAACAACAAAAGGTCCTAGACACATGCTAAAAGCTTATCGGAGATCACCCATCAGTCTTGGGGGCCCTGGTAGGCCAAAGACTTTCCAACTCTCCTGCAGGGGTTGAAGCCCCTTTGGACAGAAGGTTCCATCTGTTGCTGAAACAGAAAAAGGCCTGGAGTCCATTTAAATCCAGCCTTTCTATACCAAACCCACCTTTCTTTGTCTTCCTAGTCTCTGGAAACCCAGTTTGACCCAGAATATACGAACTTTCTCAGGGAGTGCTACTTCTCTGGAAGTGTGAGTGGTTCACCTTAATCACACCCCACTCTTTTAGTTCCTGAAGGATCTGTGGTGGTAACCCTCCCAAGTGGAGTAGACCACAATCACGCATACAATCCCTGGCCCACAGTGATACATGAACTTAATACAATGTGTTCCCCCAGAGATACTGCAAGCGGTTTCAATATCTGTCATGGTATATCTGGCATTAGGTCATTCCTCATATTCAAATAGACATAGAAAATAAGTTTACAGTAGTTTTAATTAAGTTCCTGATCTTCATACTGGTGTAACTTCCTCTCAGTTTGCATTAGGGATATATCAAGTGAAATTGGCGTATCACTCAAGTTTCAGTTATGTTTCTCTTCTTGGCTTTTAAAAAACATTATAAGTATAATTATCTATGTTAATTATCATTCTGAGATTCTACACATTGTTCTAGTGTGTGTGTGTCTGTCTTCTTTAAAATCAGTTTTTCCTGTCTCTTCCACAGATTAGTCTGATTTATATGCACTCAAACAGTTGTTACTGCCAGTTAATCATGTACATAAATACAGTAACTCCTCACTTAACATTGTAGTTATGTTCCTGAAAAATGCGACTTTAAGCGAAACGATGTTAAGCGAATCCAATTTCCCCATAAGAATTAATATAAATGAGGGGGTTAGGTTCCAGGGAAATTTTTTTCACCAGACAAAAGACAATATTTTATTTTTTTATAAAATATATATATATATATATATGTATACACACACACACACAGTATAAGTTTTAAATAATTTAATACTGGTACACAGTGATGATGATTGTGAAGCTTGGTTGAGGTGGAGAGTCAGAGGCTGGGATATTTCCCTTACTGCTAAATGATGAACTAGCAATTGGCTGAGCCCTCCAGGGTTAACTCTCTCACTCTACAAGGCAGCAGAAATGGAGGGAGGGGAGACATCGCAGACAGAGACACACACCATATGTGTGTGTGAGAGAGAGAGATGCGCATTTCCCCTTTAAGTACATTCCCTTGTTAATTAGATCAGCTTGCTAAGACCGCAGCTGCTGCAAGCTCCCTCCGTCCTGAGCCCTGGTGTGTCCCCCCCTGCTCTATAGAAGATGGGGTAAGTGGTGTGCAGGAGCAGGGGGGAGGGGGACACCCTGACAGCCCCCTTCTTCCTTTCCTGCCCCCCTGCACAGCAAGCAGGAGTCTCGGGGAGCAGCTCCAAGGCAGAGGGCAGGAGCAGCACATGGCAGTGGGGGGAGGGACAGCTGAACTGCAGGCAGCTGCTGCACAGGGAACTTAGGGGAGTAGGGAGCTGATGGGGGGCTGCCGGTCCACCCTGGTTCCAAGCTCCCACCAGCTAGCTGAAACGGGCTGCTCTTCCTGCAAGCAGTAGACAAAGCAGGTGGCTGCCAAACGACGTTAGGAGGGAGCATTGCACAATTTTAAACGAGCATGTTCCCTAATTGATCAGCAACGAAACAACGTTAACCGGGACGACTCTAAGTGAGGAGTTACTGTGTGTGGTGTGTGTGTGTGTGTGTATATATATATTTTAAATATAAGAACATGTAGAATAGCACTTCCTAACAACTTGGTTATATATATATATATATATATATAAAAATCATTTACCAAGTTGTTAGGAAGTGCTATTCTACATGTTCTCATATTTAAAATAGTTTTTTTTCTATTGAAAATTAATATAGGAGGTTTAGCTCTTCAAGTTTTATACACTTTTCTTCACAGCCAATTAGGAATTCTTTCCAGGAACAGGTAACACCTCCATATTGTTTCAGAGGACACCCACTCCCTGCTGGGATTTGAGTAAACCCCTATTTTAAATTATATTCAGTAAGGCTGTTCATTGACTCTTTCCTTGTTTTTTTGATTGAATTATAAAATTACTGTACTAAAATTAGTATCTTAAAGCTTGCAACACTGCTAATGGTTCTGAAAGATCTGGCCCATTCATACTATGTCTGCTTGGGGGAAAAGCATGTATAATACCTGAGTCATCTCAATAATACCTGATGACATATATGTAAATTTTTCTATTAAAGAACAAAATATAACGTATGCTCCTTGTGTGCATTATTGTGAGCAGTAAGGAATCATTCCTACCCTCACATGTTGTTCTCTGTACTGCATAATATTTTTCCTCCTTATCTGGTGGCTTTGGGTTGTGGGTCAATTTAATCGTTCATTCTCACACTACTTTACCCTTAGACTCTGTTATGGTCAGAGAACATCATTCTCTTAGTTGAGAGAGACTTAATAAAGCTCTTCTCAATTGAAGGGGCTGCTATTGAGCAGTGTGAGGTGCTGAGTGGTACTGCATTTTCTCTCCCCTTTCCTAGGACAGAGCAAGCTGCTCTTGTAACAGTCCTATTTATGCTATGTTGTGACTGGTGTATTGCTAAAGATGACAAATATTTAAGGTGCAGAACAACATCTCTTTATCAAAATCAGTAACGAAGGGATTTTATTTCTCTAATACTTGAGCACATTCCCATATTGTGATCTCTTGTTCCTGGGGCTGTACAGTAGCCTTTCCTCAGCCTAGCCTGCCTCCCTGAAGATCCAGGCAGATGGGCAGAAGTGTCTTAAAAATACTACTTCAGGTTCTTCTGCTTCAGTTCCTTTTAGCTGCTGATTGCCACACCTGTGATTCTTTACATTAGTCCTAGGGGCTGATCTGTGTAGCAGTTGCTTACGGCATGGCTGACTCTTTATGGATCAAATTAGGGAGATTTCTTCATTACGTAATGAGAGATACCTTTGCATCTGGAGGCTAATAGCTGGCTTTGTTTCCCCTTTAGCTATGGTTCTTTCACTCTTGTTGTGGAAGAGTAGTCTCCTTTTCTGATGTCAGTGGAGCTGTGGCCACATTGCACAACAATGAACGTGTTCTTTTTTCTGCTCAGAGAGAGGGATGAAACCTGTAACAGTTTTGGAATAAATGAGAGAAAGCTGTTATGAACCATTCCGACTCATCTCTCACCCATGTACCCAAATATTCACAGGGCAGAGTCACTAAAAGTTAAGGAACAACCTTTGGGTCTTGAAAGGGGAAAAGAATAGAGCCCTGACCTTGTCCGTTAGAAGTACTGCTTTCAGATCCTTAGTTAAACCAAAACAACCATGGGAAAGGCAAGAAATTCTGTTTATTATGATGTTAGGTTCCCAAGATCCCTTCTTTCACTTACCTACTATCCTAAAGGACTAAAAGGGGAAATATACAATATCCTGACAGATGGATGGGGAATACAAGGAATCAATGGAACAACATTGAAAATAGACCATATTGCATGTATCTGTTTTGTATTGTTTTATACTTAGTTCTTGCCCCAAAGAGCTTACAATCTATCTTTTAGTTCTGTGTTTGTACAGTGCCTAGCATAGTGGGGTTCTAGGGCTCCTACATGCTACACTAATACAAATAATAATTCTCCTAAAAGGGTAAAATACCCTGTAACTAAAGCTCACTGTAGCTTGGGTTGATTTTAAAAACTGACAATAAAAAGCTATTTGAAAGGGACTGTGGACCCAGTCCAATGTCCATTAAAGTCAGTGAAAAGACTCCAGTTAACTTCAGTAGGCTTTTGATCAGGGCCCAATCAAGACTAAATTGTAGGTTTTGGAAAGCTTGTTCCTACAAAAACTAAAACCAGTAGAAAATTTTCCATGATTCTTTTTTTTTTTTAGTCCAAGGAAAAGTTTACAAGAAACATTCCACTGTGGTGTTTACAATCCAGCTATTGTGGCAATGTATGCAAACCTGAAAGTACTGTTGATTGAAACTGACTGTTTAACAATGTTGAGAGCTGCCAAACATTTATAGAAAGTAGAAAACTAAATTCAATTTTAAAGTTCTTAGATTTTAATAATCTCAGATGTTTTTGGTAAACATACATAAAGAAATGTCTTTAAGCATCATTTTTAATCTAACATTGCCCCTTAGAATAACTCCATTCCTATGCATCTTATGGGGGACAAATTATTACAATAAATAAGTAAGAGCAGGTTGATAGACTAGGACTCCTGAAACGTGAGCTTTCTGTGTATTGCTACATTCCTATTCTAGTCCACTTATTAAAGTTTTGTTTTTGAAGCACCTAAATACAACAATTCTAATCACATTTAAATGATTTCAGTGGCTGGTTAAGCCAACCACAGTGCTACATAAGATAAATAAAATATATATCTCAAAATGGGTATTACATTGTAGAAGTTGTAATATTTATTGAATTCAGTGTGTGTATGTTTTACATCTGATGTTTTTTCTCTGCATATTCTCCTATCTGATGTTTCACATTAAACTCTTCCTGGCAGGTGATTGTGGAACAGTACGTTCAATCTCATCCCAATGGCCTGCAGGCCATGTACAATAAACTGCTGGAGTTTGTTCCTCACCATTGCCGTCTTTTGCGTGAAGTAACAGGGGGAGCTATGTCAAGGTAACAGGTTGTCAGCTATAGTTGTAACAGTTGTTGATTATCCAGTACTTCTGAATGACCTGTATGGTATTTAACTACAAAACACAAAGGATTTGCCTGTCCTTTCCTAAAGATTAAAATCAATACTGTTTCTCTTTTATATCTGCACATTTTTAAAAAAGTTGTGAACAAGATTTCCTGATGCTGTAGCACTGGGCTTGAGAAGGAGGAGAAACGATATACTACAATAATAAAACTGAGTACCATTACAGTAGTCCATCAGCTTGGCCTGACCCTGCAGCAGCCCTGGCCTTCTGCTGCCAGTCTGTCTGGAACCTTCCCTACTGTTATCGATTGGGCCCAGGCACCTCAAAAGGTAGAGGGAAAGCCCTCAGAGCAGGGTACTAGGCCTCCAGGAAGCCAGGGGCTAGAGTCGCCAAGAAGCCCAGTTGTGTTGGGAAGTGACATCGTTCAGAGAAGCTAGGGGGAGGTTTTGATTGCTCTTTGCCCCCATTATACAGGCAATGGGTCTGGGCCAGGGTTTTGAAGCACCCTGACGCTAGGGTGGCTTCCCTCTGTCTGTAGGGTGCCTGGAAATGGCACCTCATACATTTAAGGAGAAGAAGGAAGAGCAAGTCATCAGCTTGGAACCTCAGGTTGCTGAAGGTGTCTGTCATATCTTTCCTTCAATGACACTTTTGTCCATGTGACTGATATCTCTGGCAAGGAAACAATCTGCTGAGTGACTGATATGATGAGTCCTTTCCCTGTGCTGCTGTGTGGGAAGTCTAGGACATTTTGCTGAGATGCAAGTAGCTGGGCATCACTGCCTTTCACATCAAGCTACAAACAGGTGGAAATATGACCAAAACTCCAGGATCTAGTTCTCAGTCAGCCCTTGTAGCATTGGTTCATTCCAGAATGAAGACTGGGCCTACTGAGGATGTAACCCCCATTCCCCTCTGATAGTATTCCCAGAAGGAGTGGTTGTCATGGTCATTATCTGTAAACCAATGGTTGGGTTTTCTTTCATCATTCACAATACTATATGATAGATTTTTCTTTGATGCGAGGGAACTTGACTGTGTCCTCCATCCAAGGAGAGGGGCACAAGGAAGTTATTCAAAGTTACTGGATTGTCTGCTTAACAAAAAAGAAAAAAATTATTAGTTTACTCCCATAGGTTTGACTAATTCATTATGTGTACTGGAATTACAGATTTGATCTGTATACCTCTTTTTGCTATCTACTCAAAAACGTTTAATTCCTGTTGCAATTAAACTGCCTGTTTTGAAACCTACAGAATTCAAGTCTGTTAAACTATATCCATTTATTTATCTATTCAGAGGCTGGTTAATGTAGTAGACTGCTACAATTAGCAGTGTTTAGAATTTAGTCTCTAGAGACTGCAGAATTACTTTTCTATTTAGCCATCTATTGCTGTGCTTTTTACACGTCTTTAGATTTTTACTAACATCTCAATTCTGTTAATCCCTCAATATTTTTAATCCTTCTTTTAATAGGAGAATGTTTTTAGTATTTACTCTGATGTACCCTACTAGAATTATAAATGCTGCTTTCTTTTTCTGCTCTGTCAGCTTCTGAATTGGGAAATTAAAGATAAATTTTTAACCTTCTACTTGGAAGCATAGCACCACTTTCTGCATGTAGAAATGAGACTCAGAAGAAGCAAAGAGAGGAATTCCCTTTCTTCCCAACATCCTATTTCCATTTGGCCTCTGATTGGTGGGGGGACTGTTTAAACTTTAAAACATACACGTTAGAATAGGATTTTTTTTTACTGATAAATATTTGTTTTTTCAGAATTTACTAAAAATGTGCTTCTGCATAAAACTACTGTTTTTCTAGAAAATGTATTAAATTGGAACAAAGCTGGTTGTCTCAAATATGGTGCGCCAACATAGACATAATAGATATGAAAATTGTGAAAAACACAGAAAGAAAACTAGTTCAAACATGCCTATATAATTATTTTTTCTAATTAAGGAAAACTACATAATGTAGTTCCTGAGTTTTGGTTAACATTATTGCCAAATTTGAACTTTCATGAGTGAAACTTACCTTTTTTTGAGGGAAAAAAAATTGGAATAATTGAAATATTTATCCTCTTGCAGTGAAAAAGCAAATACCGTTCCTGGATATGATTTTTTAGTGAATTCAGTGTGGCCAGAAATAGTACGTGGCTTAGAAGAAAAATTACCATCACTTTTTAACCCTGGAAACCCAGATGTATTTCATGAGGTAATTTTACATGTTTTTACATTTGCTATAACTTTGATGTGGGGAAGAACTTGTGTGTCATGTTCTCTAGCTTGTTTTTTCAGATTCTCTTGTGAAAATTCATGTTGCTGCATGCCTCCGAATAAGATGTATGTTAGAGATCATGTGATAGTTTAAATTCTATTTTAACTTTCTTAGGAGCAAATTCTGCTTTCAGATGCCTGGGCAGAACTCGTGCTGAAGTTAGTGGGACTTGTACGGTCATGTGAATTTGGTCTTAACCTGTGCAAGACAGCAGATATCTCTAGTTTATAGAAAAACACAATGTAAATGAAGGAGGGAAAGGGAAAACTGAATGTTTAAGGCTGGAACTGCTAGAAAGAGACAGCTGTTGGGTTAGTTAAACATCTGGGAAGCAACTTGGCATCTGAATGTGACTTGTCCTTTACTGTGGAAAGGTTTAAAAAAAAAATCCCATCTTTCTCTCTCAACCTTTAGTCTTTTTCATCACTAACAATGCTGTGACTAAAGATGTTTCAGAGGGAGCTTGAATAATTCAAGTATTTTGAGGGAATGTGAATATAAATAAGACTTTGGAGAAATGGCCTCTTGAAAGAACTACTTTTCTAATGTCATAAATATTTACTGTGTGTGTTCAAAAATGGATTCTGAAATGTATGGAAATACCTGTCACTACAGTTTTTCCATAATTGTGCACAATGTTGCTGTATGTATGTGAGAGATGACATTTTACTGATACCTGTCAGGTGGAAGCTCAATGTGATGTAGAGTAGGGCATAGAGAATGCAGCTTGCCATCTGAACAGATGACAAACTAGGAAATGGTAAGCCGCCTGTTTTGTCATGAGTTCAGGTGGTGAGATGCCTGTGTCCTTATCTAAACCAGAATGTCAAAATAGCTTTCTTTTGGATTTATTTTCTTACTTGTGACTCTCTTAATTGATTAAATCCTCTTTGTAACTAGCTCTATTGATAAGGATTCTTACATTACTCCTTTTAAGATGGTGGGGTGACTGTTAGGAACAAATGCTCTCAAGGCGGGAGAGGGAGGAGGCATACCAGGTACATCAGTGCAAACGGACTGCTTAAGAAAATGTTGAACTCTTTGCATATGTAGGTGTATCTGTCAAATGGTTCTCCCTATGTTCATGCAAAACTATCTGTAATAAAAACAGATCAATTTCTCTTAGAATTTAAGGACTCCTTCCTGTAAACACACAATGTAATTACTCACATGCCTAAAGTTAAGCACATGTGTTTGCAGGTTCGGGGCTTAAATAAGGGACAAGCATCATAAGGAGGTTAAAGAAAGAGAGATCCTGTTTTCATGCAACTGTCTCGGATAAGGAAATACAGCAAATGTGTATGTGTGTGTTTGTTTCTAAAGAGAATGCTTTTCAATTTTCCATAAAGCATCAGCTGCTCCTCAGTGTTCCATTGAATGCCCTGTGTATGACAGTGTATCAGTTGCATAGTGCTATTGTCCTTCATGCTGCTCAGGTTAAATTGGAATCTTTGTATCTTTACTGAAAGCTTATCTCCATGTAAAAAGAATAACTTTTAAAAGCTTGCCTTTTTAAATTAAGCTGATATTGACCCATGATCCAGTTAAAAGAATTTGACCTTCAGTTACACCATGCAATCAAAACCGAGTACTTCCGCAACTGACTACTTAAGTGAGAATTTAGCAATTCTGAATCTGAGTCATTAAAATATTTTACCCTAAAATCAATAAGAAATAAAAATGTCAAGTGTCAAAATGCTGTGAAATCCATTGTTGTTAAAAGACCAATAGAAATGTTTCCAGGAATTAAAATAAATTCCATAGACACTTTTAAAATAATTCCTGCATTGTTTGTAACCCAGATATTGGAATACTGAATCTCAAATGAAATTGACCTCATTGAATTTTGAATGCCAAAGATACAGGAAATAAACTTTCTACAGCTTTTAAAGTTCATTTACATTGTGCATTTGACAGTAATTTGTATATAGTAAGTTTCACACTAAGGATATCACTGTCCACAGTATTGCCTGCTTATGTTGCTTTTTCACACAGCAAAAGAGGATGGAAAAATACTTTAAGAAAATAAACTGTTTATAAACTGACGAAAAATTGGCACAGGGTCTCAGAAGCAGGTTCAATAACAGAAGCCACTTTCAACTTATTTTTTAGATTGACTAAGGCAGAGCATCTGCAGTTCCCATTTACTTCAATGAGCTTTGTGGCTGCTCAACACTTCTGAATATTCAGACATTTTTATGTTTAGGGGCCTACCTGTGAATTTAGGAGTCTAATTTTAGGTACCCGGGTTTGAAAATTATTTGCCTTGTTTTTGTATTCTGAAGTAAGTTGTCCAAGGTAGACAAACAAATTTAGTAAGAAGGCTGGGGTAGAACTCCCAGGCCCCTGCTCTAACTATTACACACAATGCCTTTATTAAGAACCAGAGAAATGCTTTTAACCTCTTCTAAGAAATGGCATGTAAGCTATGTCTACACTGCAATGAAAAACCCACAGCTGGCCCGTGCCAGTTGGCTAAGGCTAAGGGGCTGTTTAATTGTGGTTCAGATGTTTGGGCTTGGACTGCAGCCTGAGCTCTGGGACCCTCTCACCTCACTGGGGCCTGAAGCACAGGCTGCAGCCCAAGCCCAAATGTCTACACCCCAGTTAAATAGCCTTTTAGCCCAAGCCCTGCAAGCTCGAGTCAGCTGGCATAGGCCAGCTGCAGGCTTTTAATTGCAGTGTGGACATACCCCTAATGTCCTGTAGTCTTTAACTCATGTTAGTTTTATTCTGTCTAATTCAAAACAAGCCAAGTTCATATAAAATTGGTTCAGTATTTTAAGTTACTTTTAAGTTTGTTCAGGTTTTTTTAGATGACTTCTAAGCTAGTGTGGCTTAGAACGTTAGACCAATTCATCTTTAAGCATCATAAAACGGCTGAAGCAGTTTTTGTCAGCTCTGTTTTTGATATCTCAGTGAGATGTGTAAATTAGATCAAGTCTCTAAGACTGTATTGTACTTATTATATATAAGGTTGTTAAGAATCTCAGATTTGTATTCTGTTACATATTTATTGGCAAATGTATGGTATGGAAACCATACTTTAAAGAATGAGCAAGGAGGACAGATTTTAACCTTAACTCTACATTTCCTAATTTCTGTTGGATAGCTCACCCTTAACATTACATTAATGCCACTCTTTTTGTATGACATAGTGCATACATGTTGTTTAGTAACAAAGCACTACTCAGAATGCATCTCCTTTTCCTCAGGTGGTTCTTAGCTTTGTGCCTTGCAAAACACAGAATGTATGACTTGACAAATCATGTTGAGTCAGTTAACAATAGCTTATTGTTGAGAATGGATGCAGAATAGCTTTGAGGTACTTGTAAACATCCCACTTGAGATACCAAACTCTGAAAGGAAGTAGTCTAGATAGTTATTCTGAATTACTTATTTGTAAAACATCTGTATACAACCAAAAACATCTAAGACAGCTTCCTAAAATAAGGGCCTAATGTATTACGCCTATAGTACAAAGTAAACCTCACACTGTCAATCGGTTTTGAATTCTCTCCTCCTTCCCTGCCCACACCAGTTCATTCCATTCCTACTTCACAGCTTTATCCCTACATGCCTGGCACTGACACTATCCCGCAATCACCTGCTCCCACCTTCTTCTCCTCCTAACACTGAGTAACATGGGAGCGTCTTTTCTTCCACTTACAGACCACTGAGTCCACTCACAAGTCCTGGAGCACCTCTGAGTTGTTAGTGCAGTATACTCGGACAAGTCTGGAGCGCCAATGAAAGGGAGGTGTCGCTGTGGAACTTGCACACTCGTGGCATAATTCGTGGTGAAGGGGTCAATCTCATTTCCCTTTACCATGGAATAAACTGGATGATTGCTTCAGTTCCATTGCAGCCCAGGCTCTGGCCTTATGTGGTATGTCTACACTACAAAATAAATCCTGTGGCAGAGTGTCTCTGAGCCTGGATTTATAGACTCAGTCTCCTCGGGCTCATGCTATGGCGCTAAGAATAGTTATGTAGATGTTCCTGCTTGTGCTCTGAAACCCACCCCCTCCCTGGGTTTCAGAGCCCAAGCTCCAACCTAAGCGGTAACATCTACATGGCTATTTTTAGAACTGAAGCTTGAGCTCAAGTCTGTAGTCTCGGGCTTTGAGATCACTGCCATGAGTGGTGTTTTTGCAGTGTAGCTCTACCTATGGAGATTAGAAGTGGGGGAAGTGTCAGCTGACTTTGAGAAATGAATACAACTATAATCGTATAGACCGCGCAATAGAATCCGCATACAGTCTTGACTATTTAATAGGAAACTCTGAAGTATAGTAGTCAGAATGTGGTTTTTCTTCATACAGAAATACACTATAAGCATGGATTTTATACAGAGATTTGAACGACAGTGTGGATCGCAGGCCAGCGTGAAAAGATTAAGATTGCATCCTGCCTACCACAGTTTTAACAATAAGTGGAATTTGCCTGTTTATTTCCAAATAAGGTCAGTATTTGATTTTTTTACTTGTAAGGGAGGAAGCAAAAGCAAAGTTTAGCCATAGCAAAAGAATGTAGCCCACAGCCAAAGCTCCTCCATCCCTGGGAGCTGTACTTGTCACATAAAAGCAGCTTTCTTAAAATGTAGAAGAAGCCAAAATGTAAATAAATCTGAAGAAAAAGCATGGATACTTCAACTGGTTACCAGGGCATGTAATTATTTTATACTGCTTTCACTGAGTTAGACAAGTCAGAAAACCAGCTACAGTTATATTGAGGTTGGTACAGAGCCTCACTGCTGATGAGACTGCCAGGGACTGGTCTAGACTAGTTTTCAAACCTTGTGCATCTTCTATAGCTCAGTCTCTGCTTATCTTCTTCCTGCAATTAGAAAGAATGTAGATTTAATAGAATTTTTGCAAGGCTGGTGGAATGCTTAATAAACTTGCTATCATGGTAGAGTTCTGTTTTTTAAAAGCTCTAAAATAAAGGGTTGAATATCGTATCAATTAATCTGCCATGGTTATGGGTTAGCTGTACATCTAACCCCTTCTCTCATTTCACTGAGTATACCTCCGTAGGTGTTAGGTCTCATGACTTTACCTTTTCTGGGGTGGAATCGTGCAATTCTCCACTCTTAGACCAGGTCCTGAGCTAAAGTAGCCTGTGTACCAGCTATGGTTAGTCAGCAAATCCAGTTGGACTCAGTACATGCAGTTTTCCCTTCTGGAGCTTATGATCAGAGGTAAACACAGTGGATCAAAAGAGCCTTTAAAAATAAATAGTTGTGTAATCTTAACAGTAAGAATGAAGTATAGCATAAGAGATAAGGGATTTGTAAAATAAAGGTCTACACACATCTCTTACCTAGAGGCTTGTCATCCCCTGGCAGAGAACCTGGGCATGTATCTCTTTCCTGTCTCCCAACAGTGTCCCTTCCCTGAGAGTGTCAGTTTCATCCCACCAGAAGCTCCTTGTCTCAGATTGTCTCCTATATTTACAACCTGGGATTCCCTCCTCACCCCCTCCCCTCCCTTCCCCCCAAAGCTAGGCCATTGAGCTCAGATGGTAAGAGGTGTGAATGGCCCTTGCATAATCTCTTAAATATCCACCTATGGGTGCCTGTCCAAAGCCTTTCTTATATGCAGTGTTGTAGTAGCTATGTTGCTCCCAGAATATTAGAGAGACAGGGTGGGTCAGGTAATATTTTTTATTGGTGAACTTTTGTTGGTGAAAGAGTAAAGCTTTTGAGCTTACACAGAGCTCTTGTTCAGGTCTGGGAAAGGTATTCAGTGTCTTAGCTAAGTAGAAGGTGGAAGTGATGGTTTAGCATAAGTAGCTAATGTACATTTTGAGGGACCATTCAAGGTGAAGTGTTCCATTATCACCACTCCAGTCATAGAGTGGAAAGGGGGAAGAAAAAAAGCTGTGCAGGGGATTAAGTGGATTACAGGTGGTTGTAATAAATCCAGTGACTCTGTTCAGTCTGTGAATTTTAGTATCTAACAAAGTTATCAATTTAAGATGCCAGACTTGTCTTTTGAAGGTATTGAAACTTTTGACAGGATTCCGAAATTATTTTGAATATTTTATTTTGAACATTTTTATCACACAAGCTATGAAAATAATACTAACTGGTTATACGTAAAATCAGAAAATGTATCTACATCAGGGAAATTTATGCTTTAAAAGTGCCTTTTGGTTTATATAAGCTTTGAAATATATTCTCACACTCATATTAAATAGGAATTTTGTTGAAATCGTCATATTGGAATCTCATACTTTTTCTAATTTACATAAAGTTAAGGCTCCTGTTGATTTTTCCCCCTGCACATCTAGCATTATGAAAAGAACAACATGGAGGGAGGAGTTGGTGGGGTGAGATGAGATACATAAATGTGTTACAATCCTTCTGCATCATTGCAAGTTCAGCAGTGATTCCTAGATCATAAGTCCAGAAGTGACCATTTTGATCGTATAGTCTGACATCCTGTATAACACAGGCCATAGGACTTCATGATATCAGATTCGGGTAGTTGTTCATTGTCCTATTTCTTGTTCTTGAAGTCTGAAAGTATTCTTCACAAATTGCTAATTAATAAGAATGATGGATCAGTGTTGGGAATAGTATTTCATTATTTAACGCTCCGAGATCATTTGTTTATATACCTGTTGTGGTGGGAAAATGGGAATTGCCATACCAGATCACACTAGTTTGTCTAGTCCACTAGTCTATCTCTGGCAATAGACAATAAAAGATGCTTCAGAGAAGAAGGTAAAAGAAACCGTATAGTGGGCAATTATAGGGTTTTGTGAAACTTCTTTGGAAATGGTTGTGATGCAATAGCAGCAAAAAGAGGGGAAGCCAGTGACAAAAAAGTCCTCTTGTGAGCAAAACTAAAACAGCTTTGCTTCATGACAGTTTAAAAATATTTTGGTATTAACCTTATTTAATCAACACTCTCCTGAAAATTGCAGTGCGGGATCTGTCTTGTATATTGTACAGATAAGTATCTTTAGGCTATAGAGGGTCCTGTGGCACCTTTAAGACTAAGACTGTTAGTCTTAAAGGTGCCACAGGACCCTCTGTTGCTTTTTACAGATTCAGACTAACACGGCTACCCCTCTGATACTATCTTTAGGCTGTGTACTCTGTTTAGGTAATGTATGTTGAAGCAGATGAGAATTGAAAGTTTTCAGTACTGACTTTTGCTTTTATAACCCCCAAAGATGTTGGGGTTTTTTTTGTTTTGTTTTGTTTGAGGTCAAGGCATCCTGGGAGGAACTATTGATTTTTTTATCAGGTACAGAACTGTTTGCAGAACCTTGTGCCACTTGCTGGTCATCAGCAAACATGCAGAAAGCTACAGGCACCATGATCATGTGACCTACATGAAGGTTAACTAAAGTAAATGTAAGAAGTGAGACAATGTGTTGACTTTTTCAGTGTGAAAGCAATAAAATAAACAAGTTAGTGTTTCTTACTAAAACTATAGACACTGAAACATCCTCAAACTTGCTGCTTTTTACGGGATGTTTAAGATTATAACTTTAATCTCTTTCCCACTTCATTTCTGCTTGGAAAATTCCATTGTTTCTCTTTTAAATGCTTTCCAGTTAGGATCAGACTAAGTAAAAACCAAAAAAATCTCCCCAAACAAAAGCCGCACCTTCTTTCTTTATATAGCTGATAGTATAAGGCGTGTTTAGACACCAGTTTAAATAATTTGTGACTTGTAATATATTGAACAATATTTGTTTCTTTCTGTCAGATTTAGAGAGGTAGCAGGAGCCTTAGAAGCTGCACTTTCAGATAGCCTAGAAGAGGCACCAGGTAAACTTCCTTTACTAAAACTTGTAGTTTTTATCACGTAAATAAAACTTTTTCCAGGTAGTGATGGTGATTGTCTGTTAGAGTAATCAGTCACACAAAGCTTTAGATCTTAAAATAATGTCTGTCTTTTTACTGGTAAGTCAATTAAGAGGGCTAGACCAACTCATTACTACAAATAGCAATACCTGGTTTATACAAATGAGATGAGGGATCTAAATTACTGTAGGGCTCCTAGAAGATGCAATTAAAAATTATGCCATGCTATTGGAACACACATCTTGCTTTCATAACTGTAGTGTTCTGAATAGGAGAGGAAGAAATGACCATTTCTAAGCAGCAAATGCACTTATTACTCTCAGTGATATTGACATCAACTCTAGGAGTCATTTGTCTGCTACACTGGCCAGAGATTAGGCAGTAGCAATGAATTCATATCTATTGAGTGAATTAGGAGGCTGGAACAGTGAATTTATAATCAATTGAGTGAATTAGGAGGCAGAACATATTAAATGAGAATGGAGGAAAAGGACTGGTGCTCTGGTAAGAGCCAGGAGAGAAACATACAGTGCCTTTAAAAGAAACATTAAAGGCAGTGAAAGTGGTTTGTTGTTTTTTTTAAATGGAGTTAGTCTCTATAATCTGTATGAAACAAACTTTCTAAGCATAGGGCTAAAGATTATGAAAAAACAGGACAGCAGAGTTGGAGGTATGGGGCACATTGCTTTTGTTTCTAGGATTTATGCATTAATCTTAGAAACTAAATGAAAAATATTTACAGATTGAGAGCTAAGTACGGTTCATTTGCAAACTGTGTAATTCTGTTGCCAAAACTACTTTAAAAGTTTTCATGTAATTGTAGCTGTTACTTATTGAACTTAACACTCCTTTAGTACCAAACGGTGATAACAGCTGCCGTTTATTGCGTTGTGTTGTCAGGACATAGAACAGTTGCTGCTCTGATTGGCTACTTTCATGCACTCAGTCAACTTAGTAACTTTTTTAATGTACCTTGTGAAACCTGATAAGATAACATTGCATAAATGTGCAACACAAAGGTGATATAAGAATCTTGCCCTTAGTTCAACTACATTGTCTCTGTATTTACTGATTATCCACCTGATAGGAGAACTAAAACTAGTTCTGAAAATGTTAACGAACACTTGATCCAGGGGAAAGTAGTTCTGATATTAAAAATTTGGCTTTAAACAATTTTGGTAAATTATCTTGGTGGTGATGAAAATAATTTTGAAGTGATTTTTAAAGTTCAAAGTATTTTGATTTAAAAAAAAGTAATAACAGTAAAAGTACAGTTCCATAAGCTTTGAAAAATAAGATTTTTCAAAACAAGAACTTAAATCATGATTAGTAAATAACCATTATTCCCTAATTATTTTTTTAGCTGGAAGCTCATATTGCCTTTTGGCCACTCACCTGGTATGGGTGAGTCTTCTGAAGTGTTGGTCAGATCAGATGTTTTTACCATTATTAGCACACCGCCTATGGAAATTTACACTGCAAATTTTAGCACGCTACTCTGTGTTCATTAATGAGGTAAGACAATTACATGCTTATGCCATTGATACTTATTGATGGCATATACATACCAATGAAAAGTGTTCAGTTTAAATCTCTAACTTCTAATATATTAGTACCTTTTAGACTAAGAAATGTGTATCAAGTGCAGTTTAAATAGAGCCTTAAAACTAAAGAAGATATTGCAAGAAATTTTGTTAATGGTTATTGTCAGAAACTATCTTGAAACAGTACTGATATGAAAAAGTGCTATAGAGAGACAATCCACTCACAGAGTTGTCTCCTCTGTTGTCATTATAATGGGACTGATACTCGTACTTCAATTCTTCTATGTTGTAAATGAAAAATGGCAGTGTTGTTGACAGTGTCACTATACTGCTGGGAAAATCAGCCAGTGCAACCCCAAATGTTCACAGGAGTAACATTTTTAGGAGTGTGAAAATTGCAACATCCTTTGTGAAATGAAAAAGCATAGTCAAGTTCTTCTCCCAATCTCTGCAATCTAAACCAGACACAGTGGTTTGACTGTCATCACCTCATTTTATGGACGTTGGCCCAAAGAACAGATTCTGTTACATAGATCTCTTTAAATATGTATTGATTTTTACACACCAGGGTTCTGAGATGATGCTGTACAATCTTAGATATTCTGAGGCCTTTTGTTAATATTAAAAACAAACAAACAAACAAAAACCTATGTAAGTCAAGTATAACAGGCAGAAGAGAAACTTAGATGCTTATAACTTCTGCAAATGTTGTACTGTATTGGGAAAAAATTGCAAAAGACTTTATACACTACATTTGTGAGCTCAGCTGAAACTATTTTCTCAAAGACTGATGTTCATTTCTCACTTGGCTACTACAGCTTTTGCTCAGGCCCATCTCCAATGAAAGTACAAAGGACAACAAAAAATCTGTGGTAACCGGTAGCAAGGAATCCTCTGTAAACCCAAATCCCAGTGAGGACCAGGGAAATGGTGCTTCTCCAGAAACACAGCGTTTACCTTCTATATCCAATACTCAGTTGGTGTATGTTGCTGCAGATCTGGATAGACTTAAGGAGCAGGTTAGTAGATGCTACTATACATACGAGAATATTTTCATTGACCACATGTCAATACTGTTTCGCATATTGCTCATAACATCTTAAATATTTACCAGTGCTGAAACTAGCATAGTTGAAGTATGGGAGGTATCACAAGCAACAAAGCTTTAGGGAGGCTGTGTTGTTTTTATTCAGATATGGTTGGTTACAGAGGTACCAGTCCAAGTACAGGTAATTAAGGAGTCTAGTTTTTCAGTAAAATGAATTTTTCAGCAGCTGTTGCACTGACTGCTGAAACCAGATTTTTCTGTTCACTTTTGGCACCAGCTAGCACTGCCCCAGTCTTGCACTTCTCCTTGAGTGAATGATGAACAGCAAGGACCTGGTGTCCAGGGGCACAGTGTGAAATCAGGCTTCATGTTTTGAGCTATTTCTGGTTTAAACAAATATTTACTGTTTTAACCTTTGAGCCTCAGCAAGATTTTACTGGTAACAATGAATTTAAAGCATAATTATAAATCTCACAGGTGGCTTGTGTTGTACAGATCTGCTTGGAGGGTCTCCTGAGCTTTTGATTAAACTGAACTTCCTAAAACCTTTGAAGGAGCCAAGCTTGTTATCTGAGTAATACTGTGTTTCGTTAATTCTAAATGTTTTGCCATGAAAGACCATGGTGGGGGGAGGGCACCAAATGCTTAATACCGTTTTCTCGCATATGTCATGTGTTCTGGTCTTCTTGATTCCCATCTAATAGTCAGTAAAAATATACCCAGTATTTAAACATAACAGTCTCTCCTTTTAACTGCATGGGAGATTTTCAGCCCTTGAGAGAATAGACCCATATATGTTCATAACAATGGTTGTATGCATATCTGTTTTTGTTCAGCTTCCTGAACTCTTGGAAATTATCAGACCAAAACTTGAAATGATTGGCTTCAAGAATATATCCTGTATCACAGGTAAAGCTGGGAGTTTGATTTTAGACAATTTGGGAAACAAAGGGAAAACATTATGTAAATGTATATTTTTGTAATGTTTATAAGTAAGAGTTTTAAAAAATATATACCATTTGACAGTTCTTTAAAATCTAATATGGACTAGAACAGTTAATTAGAAATAGTCCTAAATGGGAGCTTCAGAGCTGGAAAAAGTTCTACTGAACTTTGGGAGAGTTTGTATCTGAACCTGCACTTTGTGACTCTGCCTCATCTCTACTATTACCAACACTAGAAGGCAATTAATATGGTGATCGTCTCCCTCACCCCCTTTTTTTTTCTGGCTGTGAAATGGACTTTTAGTAGATATCACCTAAGCTGTGTAATGTTAAACATAGGATTTGATTGCAGGAATAATACAGAAATGTCTTTGTTACAATACAATAGGATATGTATGGAGTGGGGATGGGAAGGGTTGCACAAGTTTGCGTATGTTTGGGGCTTGGGCAGTGTAGCTTAGTTTCAGCTTCAACATTTGTAATTCAACAGGAGCCTTGGAAGACTCTCAGGCTTCTTTATCAGCCTCCATGCCTACCTTGAATAATAAAATTATTCAGGATTTGAGTGAGTCCTGCTTCAGTTATCTGAAAAGCGCTCTAGAAGTACCAAGACACTATAGAAGAACCAATAAGGTCAGTGCTGATCTCATGTGAAGAGAAGTGCTCTCATAAAAGGCTTATAGGTTTCTACCACACCTACCTATAACTACTTGCAAATACCCCTACTTTGTGACTGCTTAATTCCTGCCACCATTTCATTCTTGCCACACTCAAGAGAACTTTAATATGATCTTTAAGTAAAATATCACACTTGGCTCTTGAAGTGTGACAATAGTTGCTAAAACCTGCTGTCACCCTTACGTGTCCTAGAGAATAGTTGGTTTCAAGTGGCAAGTGCCCCTGAGGCAAAACAGCACTGCAGCTGTTGGCACCATTGTCAGGGTAGATTGGAAACAATATGGAAACTGATCTGCCCTCTCATCCTTAGATTTAGTCCTGTTCTCCACAGTCCCCTTACCTGTCTCGTCCTAAGTCCCAGTTGTAAGCACAATGGCTAGGTATGATTGTATCTGTTTTGTGGACAAATAGAGAGCTTTAGTAACTGATTCTGTCAAGCCTGTTCATTTCATGAATTTATTTTCTTTTGGGTGGGGGGAAGCCTTGATTTAAATCGATTTTAATCAACTTTTCCATTTGTACTTCAGTTAATTTCTAAAGTAAGGTGTGTTCTCATTGGTTGATATAACCATTAAAACATAAGAATGGCCATACTGGGTTAGACCAAAGGTCCATCTAGCCCAGTATCCTGTCTTCTGACAGTGGCTAATGCAGGTGCTTCAGAAGGAATGAACAGAACAGGCAATCATCAAGTGATCCATCCCCTGTTGCCCATTCCCAACTTCTGTCAAACAGAGGCTAGGGACACCATCCCTGTCCATCCTGGCTAATAGCCATTGATGGACCTATCCTCCATGAATGTATTTAGTTCTTTTTGGAACCCTGTTAGTGTCTTGGCCTTCACAACATCCTCTGTTGAGTTACTACTGATTCACTATATTTGGTAGATCTTTTTGCTACCTAGGATGGTACTCTATATCGATGTACATTTATTTAAGCATTTATATAGCTGCTTATTTTCAGATTTTTTTTAATTGTACATTTTTAGTATGTTAGAAGATGGTGAATCATATATTGCTTATTTTCTAGATAATTCAGTTTTTGCTCATGATTTCTGTCAAGCTGCATTAGGATGGTCACTGGAATTTAATTAAACATAAAACAACATACAATGTATTTTTATTAAAACGTTTATGTAAAATGTTTTGGATACATGAACTTCTTAACAAAATGTTTCATGTACAAGTAATTGATTTATTAAATAGAGGGGTTAACTATAATCAATGAATTACATTGATTATTTCAGGTCAGCCTGGGAAAAATTTTGAATATGCCTAACTGAAAATGAATGGAGCATAAATTCTTTCTCACTCTTGAAAATGAGACAGTCTCTTAAGTTACTTAATTGCCCTTCAGACTTTTAAAACTAGTAGATCTCATCCCCTCCCTCCTCATTTTTATTCATAGACTGAAAGGGAGAGGCAAGTTTTCCTGCTTTTTCAACTCCCAATTGATTTTTCAACTTTGAATGAATTAGCACAAATGAAGAAAATATTTTTTGTGTGCCTTCAGAAGCAGCTATTCTTGTCAATAGCTGGTTTAGCATTTCCAGGTGCTTAACTAGTGACTTTCCCCAGTTCAATGATGTAATTTTCTTTAAATTGAGAACTGAGCCACTTAGAGCTCAGGTAAGGAGAAGCTATAAAACAGGTCTATGAGACCTCAGGTGGGCTCAGTGAATGATCCTAATGATACTTGTTGGTGTCTCCTTGAGTCAGAGGCCTGGTCTCCAGGCCGGTGATTATTTTGGCCAGTCTCTTGCATCCAGAAGCATAGCCCCTTGGTCCCCAACAGGATCAAGCCTTTAAAACATTATGTGGCCTGTTGTGTCATATTTCTAACGCTTGACCTCAAAAGTTAGATATTTTCCCCATGATTCTGTCTTTATATAGAAAAGCAACCTTTAACTTAGAGCTGTTGCTAAAGGCACATGGATTCAGCATACCTATTTTTTATTTCAGCATTTTAAGAGGTGATGATAATTTTAGATAAGGTTTTCTTTTTAAAAATCTGATTTAAATAAAAATCTTATTATTTTTTAAATCAATTATTTTTATCCATCTTGCTAGCGGGAGACTCAGGAGACTTGGTTTCATTTCCTGTGTGACCTTGGGCAAAACATTTAGTCTGTCTCAGTTGCCTCTCTGAAAAATGAGGGTTTGCCAGAGGTGGTGTAAGGATAATACACTAAAAAGTGTCAGGCACTCAGATGCTATGGTAGTGGGGGCCATATAAGTATCTAAGACTAGGGCTGGCTGGTCAAGGAGAGTAGGACTGGGATGAGGAGGTAGGGGTAGGGAGGAGACAGGACTGGGCCAGGTTGGGGGCATGGGGCAGAAGGGGTCAAGCCTGGGGAAACTCACAAAATTCTGTACCCATTAGAGCACACTCCCCTCCAGAGCCTGGAATGGAACCACAATTCCTGAGTATCACCATTTGCCCACAGCAAATATCTGTGAAATCCCCTGGCATCGTCTCTCATCCCCCTTTAGTCTGGTCCAGATAGAGGATGACGATCTACTACCGCTACCTGTCACTCCGTTAGCTCAAGTGGCAGAGGTCTGTGGTCTGGATCTAAGGTCGATCCATATACACGTCAGTATGATGCCACATGAGGGAATTTATTTAAATGGCTACTTCCTGATCTCGGGGCAGATTAATGTGGTGTTTCCAAAGACACGTAGTGGAACAGAGACCTTGGCCACTGAGGGAAAAGAAGTGTTCTGGTAGGGTTGCAAATGTGTAGCAATTTCTGGGCAATTCCTGAGTCAGAAGATTGCAGAAGTTGCAGAGTACACCATCCCGTGGGGATTGCTGAGTACGGGCTGATTTGCCTCAATACGCAAATTGTGGGATATACATACAACTGCCTAAGTGACTACTGACTCCTGCCAGTCACATCTTTTCCTGTTCGCAAAACTAGGAGATTCAATGGCTAAAACTCTGTTAAGGCAAAGTGAGGGTTGCTTGGTGATATGTCTTTCCCTTGCAGAATGCTGAGTTGAGCAAACCTCAAACTTCTAAAAACCAGGAAATGCAGAGTTAAGGTTGCCCATGAAGTCTCAACTCTACCCTCTTTCAGCAATGCCCCAGTACTCCCCATTAACACACGTTTATTCTGCCACCCCACTGTTGCTGAAATGAACACACACTTCATCTCCCTTTACCAGCTATTCACTCTCACCCACAGGAATCTGTCTAATGCTATTAAAGGACAAAGAGGGGAGGGGAGGGAAAGGTTGCCTATGCCACTTTCCCTCTGTTCTCCTAGAGCTGATTTTCAGGAGTTTGAGTTTGGCTCAACTCAGCGTTCTGCAAGGAGATGACATATGCCCAAGCAGCATTAACATCATTTTTGCCATTGACTTTGCGTTTCACATGTGCGGTATATTTGACATTGGAATTCTTAAATAACAAGATATTTATCTGCTTTGTTCTCCACCTTGTTTCCTACATGATTTACCAGGAGGTGCCAACTAAAGCATCACCTTACGTTGACAGTGCTCTTAAACCTTTCTACCGACTGCAGAATGAGTACAAGGATATGTTGAAGCAACCCAGGATTCATCAATGGTTGGAAAGTGCCCTATCTGAAAGCACACAAAAGTAAGTGAAAAGATAGTAGAACCATACAGAACAATCGCAGTGTTTGCCAAAACTGTTACATTAACTCACCGATCAGTTTTTTATTATTTGCAGAAACAAAGTAGGAATGTATTCCATTATTAGCAAGGTATATTCGTAGGGAAGTAGTGTGGTCTTGTGTAGACCACATGCAGGACTGGGAGTCGGGAGACCCAAGTTCTGTTCACACCTCTGCTACTGACAAACTGTGTGACCTTGGGTGACATACTTAACCTCTGCTGTACTTTCCCCCTCTTTAAAATGCATGTAATAGGTTACCCAACTTTTTAAAAAGCTTTTGAGATCTATGAATCAGGTGCTCTGTATAAGAGTTGAGTATTTTTATTGTTTCAGTAATTACTCATAGTTGAAAAGGCATTTAAGTATTGGATACTTCAAAGTGTTTGAAATCTAGAAATTACACGTATTTTGTGGGTGGGTAGAAAGACTGCTCGATAGTAAAGAGACATGTCTTGTCTTTAACACTGAGCTCTTTTCTCCAAACCTGCCCCTATAAATATCCTGATGAGTGTGTGTCTCATTCTTCAGAAGAGTACCATATTGTTTTGCATTTTTCTTGGATCAAATGGCGATTTGCCCAAAATCCCTACTAATGCAGGAACTTAATTCTCCATTAACGCTCTCTTTACTCAGGTATTATGAAACTGTATCAGATGTTTTGAGCTCTGTAAAGAAAATGGAAGAGAGCCTGAAAAGACTCAAACAGGCCAGAAAAACTGTAATTCCAAACCATGTTAGTTCAAACGGGGGCATGAGTGATGATAACAAAATCAGACTACAGTTGGCCCTGGATGTTGAGTACTTTGGAGACCAGGTAAGTTGGAAGAGAAAAGTCTACTTATTAAAGGGTTATCACTAGCTATTTCTTGTGGACCTGTCATAGTTGTTTACAGTTTTGTTCAGGTCTGCTAGAAAAGGTTGCATGCAAATGCCTGTATTAGTCTGACTTCCATTAAAGCTTATCTCTTAAGCGTAAAGCAATTCTCAATTACCACAAATAAAAACTAAAATAATATATTACACTTTTCCGCTTTATTCATTTAATTATATGGGTTGGGAAGAAGTCTTGCGTTTCTTTGTTCAAATTCAATTCAGTAATCTTCAGAACTTTCTGTTGTGAGAAAGAAGCATAAGAAGAGAAATAAGCCTCTTGTATGGTCAGAGTCTAGAGCCGGAGCAAGGATTTCCTTAATTCTAATTTTGGCTCTGACCCAGCAACTCTTGTGGCCCTGAGAACATTTAACACCCTCTGCCTTGGTTTCCTCATGTGTTACCAATCTTTCTTGAATTACTACATGAGGAGTAGTTAATCTTTTTGAAGGGCTGTGAAAATGCCAGCAAAGCAGTAACTATTACAATGCTTAAACTTGATTCCCTTTTGAAATATCATAATGCCAAATATAAAACAAAAGCTTTCTGCAGCTCCCATTGGCTGGGAATGGCGAACCGCGGCCACTGGGAACTGCGGGCGGCCGTGCCTGTGGACGGTCAATGTAAACAAACTGTCTCGCGGCCACCAGAGGATTACCCTGATGGGCCACAGGTTGCCCACCACTGCTCTAAAGTTTTTACATTGTTTTGGTTTTGAGTGCAGATATGTAACAAAAAATAAAATCTACATTTGTAAGTTACGCTTTCACGATAAAGAGATTGCACTACAGAACTTGTATGAGGTGAATTGAAAAATACTATTTCTTTATAATTTTTACAGTGCAAATATTTGTAATAAAAAAAATAAAGTGAACACTGTACACTTTGTGTTCTGTGTTGCAATAGAAATCAATATATTTGAAAATGTAGAAAAACATCCAAAATATTTAATACATTTCAATTGGTATTCTTTTTAAGTGATTAATCGTGATTAATTTTTTTGAGTTAATTGGGTGAGTTAACTGTGATTAGTCGACAGCCCTAGTTACTGCAGTATCATCAGTTTTCACTCTGCCTCTCAGCACAAGCTGAATTCAATTAGGAGTGTTCAGTTCATGCACACAGAGCATGTTTTAAATCAGATCCTCTATAATGATTGAGAAGATCAATTTGAAAATTATCTATTGTTACAGTAGAACAAAGTAAACACCTTAGAATTATTTCAGTAGTTTATTTAAGTAATAGTTTCTCATCACACAAGGCACACTTGTCAAAATATGTCCTCAGAGAGCTAATTCTCATAAGTGGTAAGTTTGCTAGATAAACTTTATGGTGATCATTAGCAACAGGCAGCCTGGAAATAATTTGCCTGCAAAAACATATTAAATGAAAAGTCTTAACAAAAGCTGGATAGTCCTCTCTTTACAGAGATGAACACGTATAATAAAGGACTTCGCTTTGTCAGCACACAACAAAACATGATATGCTTCATTTCTATATTTTTACAGTAAAATAATGCAAACAAATAAGATGTCTACCTTATCCTACAAAAAATGTTAGACAACAATTTAACCCTGTCTTCCGTGACTTTTTTTAGATGCAAAAGATGGGATTACAGACAAGCAACATAAAAAGCTTTTCAGCTCTTCTAGAGCTTGTTCTAGCTGCCAAGGATCAGACTACAGTGGAACAACCTTAAATATATTTGAAAACATGTCCTGAGGATGAACCAGGTCTCCAAAAATGAGAGGGAATTATTTCCCTCTTCTTTCTTTTACCAAACACTATGTAGCAATGAAGTGCTTCCTAATGCGTCTCCAGCAACAAGTCAATGCATCTTCTGTCAAGACACCCAAAGACTTGTTTCAACAAAAAATTACAAGAGAGCATTCAGTGTAGTTTTCCATTGTATGGAAGGCAGTTAAAAGCATTCTAAACTTTGTACTTTAGATTAAAAGCAAAGCAAATGTTTTTATTTTTATTGTAAATCTTAGCGTGGAAGAACTGACTTAATGATTAAAATAAATATACAATAAATTGTCTTCCTAACTGTATCATTGAGTGGGGGAAGAAATGGTGCAGTGGAGTACATGGGTTTAGGGGTTTTTCATCAAAATGTTTAAATTCTGAGTCATCTTCAAACTTAATTTTCAAATGGTAGTCCTATGTGCTGACATCTAGTATAAAAATGTGCCACTCGTGGCTACTTTCAGATCTCTAGAACTAATGAATACATATACAAGGGGACAACTCTCCTGGAATAAAGAAACTGTTCACTGGAATTGAGAACATTTTATTTCTAGTTATTGCAAAATTATCACAAGTGTGTATTTTCCCCTCCGAGTTGCTGAGTCCTATGGAAGAACTGAAAGCTTTTATTGTCCCTTTAGCTGAATTTTTCTCAGAGCTTATTTTATGACACTTCTCACACAGAAGCATCCTGAAGCGCTTCACATATTATGGATCATTTTATCCACCAATGAAATGTAACCACACCTGGGATGAAACTCAAACAGTGATAACAGTGCTTAGCCAACACTACACTGCAAAATTTTAAAATGGCAGGTGAAGACTGGTTAGTTGCACCCAGTCTGGAATTTAATCAGGTCACCAGAACGAATGGTACTCACTTACTGTGAGTGAGTAGTAGATGCTTAATTCTAAGAAGAAGCATTTGCTTCAGTATATTCAGTATGCAGATGGTGTTCTGCTCTATAATCCCAGCACATCAGACCTAGCTTCTTCAGTGGAACAAATATTACTGTACTTCTGTGAAATCAGGCTTAATATTGATGAACTGGGTGAAGGAACTAGGAGAATTGCTGATCATGGTTTGAGTGGCGTTCAAGGTGCTGGCTTTAACCTATGAAGACCTGAATAGTTTGGGGCCTGGTTATATGAGGGACTGCATCTACTCAGGCTGTACTGCCATAGTTGAGATCAACAGCGGCACTCAAGTTAGAGCTCTCTCAATATAAATGAGGGGAAGATGGTTTCCCATAAGGGTCTTGACACTAGGATTCTCCTTGGTCCAGAGCCTGCATTTATTAACCTTCCAGAAGCACTGCACAGCCCACCTCTTTTCAGACATCGAGCAAGGCTGAAGACTTGCAGTGAAGGAGTTGGAGATGATAGAATGTCTACATGGTGTTTCATGCCATGTCTGGGTAGAGCGTATAGTTTTTGTCAGAGGGTATTACTTGGAGATGGTATTGTATTTAAAAATATACTATGAAAAGCTTTAATTTTCTCAAGGTTTCTCAGGCTTTGGGTGTTTCCTGAAGCCCTAGCTAGGTCCAGTTGTTTTACATGTAAAAGGCGATAGAGAACGGGGCTTTTTATAGTAGTAGCAGCAGTGGTTTGTTTTACAAAGATGTGATACGCTGAATGTTGTCAAAAGTAATAGATAGCACTGTGTGGAACCCACCATGTGCTTGTCCTGACAAACAGACTGATAAGTCAGTACCTTTACTGCCCTGGATTGAGGACTTGTAATGCCTTGGACTGAACTAACGCTGGATTTTGTGTGTAAGATGGGCTGTGCATGACTGTTTGCTAGGCTTGTCACTTTTCTCAAATATAATCGAGTCCTCTTCCTATCTTTTTAATAAAATGCAGTTTGAATTTTGCTATTCTCAAGCTATAACTGTCAGCTTCCCACTGAGTTTCAAATACAGCATGTGACATCCTGACTGAACAAAAGAATACATTGTGTATTTTGGCAGTGTGTTCAGTATATAGTTTGCAGTAAGAATTTTTCACCTGTTAAGAATCCACCTTTTAATTTAAATTTAATAGACTCTGGCCTCCATTTTCTAGACTTACAATATTACTGTCTCAATTTCTGTAAAATAGTGGAAAATAATGTCTGGTAGCCATTGATTGTCATTTAAATTGCAGTCAGCATCTCTTCCTGAAAGCCAGGAATAATGCCTTTGTTAGTGCTGTGGAAGATGGACATATTTTTTTAAGATTTGTGGAACCACTTTTTACTTTGTGGAATGTGCATGGATTTAAATTCAACTATATTCCTGACATAATAGTGAATTCCAAAGCCTGCAGGGGCCACTAGGTGCAGATGGAATATTTTGTGCTTTATTTGCCAAATCTTTTTCTCTAAACCACAAGGCTCTTTCCTCCTCTCAGGACCCCCACGTCCATTTGTGTATATAGTTCAATTTAGTTTCTGCTCAAGACCAGCTTTAAATTGAGAAGAGGAAGCAACGACCATATAGCAAACAAGTGAAGACTTAAAGGCTCTTCTGGCTGTTATACAAATGTATATTTACATCTGTTTTCTACATCAGTATCCCTAGTCTCTTCTATTTTTGATAAAGAAAGGAGAGTAGCATTTCAATATCTTTTGGTGAGATTTGCAATAACCTCTTACAAGATGCCAGATGAGAGGTGAAGTGGTCCCCTCTTTGAAAGCTGTTTAACAAGGCACACTTTCCAAATAGTGTAGGGGAACTGGAACAGGAGAATCTATCTTGTCTCTACAGTGAATACTTAGATGATGGAGCGTTTTCCTCCTTCTTTCAAAAACTCATTGGATTTTTCAGGGAACATCTAGTTATGAAAGATCCTGATTCTGCACCCTACCTCTAGTCCTCTTTTATCATAGATTTTTACACAACTGGCTACTCCTAGCAACTGAGCATTTTCTGTATAAAGTACGGTAGATTTGTGGTCTCAAAGGCCTTAATGGACTTCTTGAAGAGTCTGGCTCTTCTCACTTTTTAGTTTACGGAAAAGTCTTGAAGTAGAGTTTCTTTTGGTGTGAGGGGTGGTTGCTGTGAATATCATGGATTATGACTGAAAAGCTTTATTAAAGAAGCTTTTGTAGTATTTTTCTAAAGGTTGATTGAAGTCTGGATTCTTCTGATCTCCAGAAGTTTATTCCACAGCCAGATCCTCTCAGCTGAGTGTACTGTTTTCTCATTCTCCTCTTCTATCAATCACCACAGTTCCACACTTTCTTCAGGTGGGAAGAAAGATGGTCTTGTTTTAAATAGAAAATAGCTTACATCAACATTAATATTATTAAGTTAATCAATTAGCTCAGTATCAGAGGGGTAGCCGTGTTAGTCTGAATCTGTGAAAAGCAACAGAGGGTCCTGTGGCACCTTTAAGACTAACAGAAGTATTGGAGCATAAGCTTTCGTGGGTGAATGCCCACTTCATCAGATGCAATGATGAAGTGGGGCATT